CAGCGCGAAGTGCGGGCACTTCCCTGGGCGCTGCGGCTGCTCCTCCGGGGGCTGCCCTGTGCTGGGGACACTGGGGACACTGGTGCCAGAGACCCCCATGCTGGGGACTCTGGGGGGAGCTTGGTGGCCTCAGTGCCAGAGACCCCTGCTCTGGGGGTCCCAGCGCTGCCGCCCTGTTTTGGGGTGCTCCGTGTGGCTGAGCCCTTGGCACGACTGAGGGGGGTCCCCACGATCCGGGGGTCTGCACTGGGAGCGGGTGTGAGGGGCTGGCACTGAGGGGACACACACACTGCCATGCTTTACCCCCCCAGCGAGCCCAGGGTGTGGCCCAGCCCCTTCCCACCCCACTCCCCTTCCTGCCCCCCAGGCCAGAAGCACTTTAGGAAGGGGGGGCTCAGGGGGGGCTGCAGGGACCCCCAGCCCGGCCGTGGGGGCACGCAGGATGCCACCGGCCCAGTGGCCGCGTGTCCCATCCCTGTCCCCTCCGTGTCGTTCTCATACGTTATGCAAATATTTGCTGTAAAGTTTGTTGTTTGTTTTTTTTTGTCTGTTTGTTTCTTTTATTTTTTTCTTTCCCCCCCTCCACCCACCCCTGTAAATATGTTCTCTGCCCGTGTAACATATTCCAAAGGATTTATAAGGATTTTTTAAGAAGTTTTGCTCGGCGGAAAGGCCAGCCCCGACCAGGGGGACGTGCTGGACCAGTGGTGACTTTTTAAACCCTCCTGCATGTCCCCTCCCCCTTGCCGGCGTGTTGTCCCCGTTGGCCGCGGCGCCGGGATATGCAAAACTGCAGAAAAACCCACAAACCCACCCCAAAAAAAAACCCCAAATCCCCCTGCTTTGCCCCCCCCCCTCCAGTCCTGGTCTATATATTGGAAATAAACTGGTTATTCAAGGCAGTGGTTATTGCTGTTATTGCCTCCCGTGTTCGGGGGGGGATCTGTGTGTGGACCCCCATTTCTTTGTGCTGTGGGGTCCTGGAGCGCTGGCAGCATCCAGGGAAGGTTTATCCATGGAAAGGTTTATCCATGGGACGATTTATCCCACTTTTCTGTGAGCCTGGGAGAAGGAAATGGACCCCCACACCCACTGACAGCCCCAGGGGATGGGAGACTGGGGTGGTCTCAGAGTTGGGGATGTCCCACCCCATCCACCCCACCATGAGACAGAAATTCCCAACCTGGGGGGTGTGGAAAAAAAACAGAGAGAGAGAAAAAAAAAAAAAAGTAATTTTATTAAAGCCAGACACTCTGATAGAAAAGAAAAGTAATAAAGGGAAAAGGAAAATAAAAAGCAACCCTTTGTCGTGGGATTTGCAATTACAATGGTCACGTTGTGCACAGAACTACCCATGGCATCCACAGCGACACGGGGTGGGGGGCCACGGGGGGGCACAGGGAGAGGGGCACAGGGGGGTCCGGACCCCCAACCGCCCCCTCCTCACCCCCCACCTCCACCCTGTGCAAGGCCTTTTTTTCCTTTTTTTTTTTTTCCTTTTTTTTTTTTCCTTTTTTTTCTCTTTTTTTTTTCCCTTTTTTATTCCTTTATCCATCCTTTTTTTTTTCCCCCCTATTTTTCTTTTAAAACAGTTCACGAGAAAATTCATGCGAAGAGACACACGAGACGTTGTAGAAACCCCAAAACAGCCTCTAAAGAGAATCAGGAACTTTTTTTTTTTTTTCTTCTTTTTCTTATATATATATATATTTATTTTTTTCCCTTTTTCAGAGTCGTAGCCTTTTTTAAACAACATCCAGACGAGTAAAGCGGGGTGCTCATGCAGCGGGCGCCTCCGACACATGCAGGCAGCGCTTGGTTCTTTTTGCTTTTTTTTTTTAATTTTTTTTTGAGCATTTTTGCAACATTTTCCTGTTTTTTTGGTCTTTTTTTTTTTTTTTTTTTTTTTTTTTTTTTTTTTTTTTTTTTTTTTTTTTTTTTTTTTTTTTTTTTTTTTTTTTTTTTTTTTTTTTTTTTTTTTCTTTTTCTCCCTGGTTTTGAACCAGAATCACGTTGCTTTATTTGTTTGTTTGCTTTTTTTTTCGTTTGTATTTTTGTTCTCTTGCTTCAGCAAAAGCACCGAGCTGGGTGCTCAAGAGAGGGGTTTGTTGGTGGTTTTTTTTTGTTTGTTTTTTTTGCATGATGCCATGAAAGGACGGACGCACACACTCACGGAGAAACCAGCCTGATGGGTGGGAGAGAGGGGGGAAAACAGGGGGCGCTTTGGGGGATTTGGGTGCAACCCCCTCACCCAGCACTGTGCACCCCCTTATTTGGTGGAGGGCACCCCAAAACCCAGAGCTGGGCACCCCAAAACCCAGAGCTGGGCACCTCAACACCCTCCTGCTCTGCAGGGAGTGCTGGGAGGGGGATCCTGGGCACCCATGGGTGCTGCTGGGATGGGGTTTGCACTAATCCAGACCCCCCTGACACCTTTATGGGTGCCCTGGACACCCACAAGCGGTGCTGGGATGGGGTTTGAACAAAGTGCAGCCCCTCCCCCCAACACCTTTGGGGGTGTCCCTGGGGGGTGGCACTTGTCACCCTCGCACCTCCCCGAGGTGAAGGGGGGGCTGTTGGTGCATTTGGGAAGCGCCACATCCACCCCCACGGAGCACCAGGAGGGGTGTGGGGGCTGCAAAGCGTGGGGGGACAGGGAAGGACAGGGCTCCAGGACCCCATCCTGGGCTAAGAAGCTGCGGCTTTGCTACAATGATTCACTTTGGTACCAAGGAAAAGAATTAAAAAGGAAATTAAAAGCATCAAGTGACTGCTATTGCTGCCGGGAAAGTGTGGGGGAGAGCTGTCCCACCCCGGGGGTGGCACCCACGGGTGTCGGTGTCCCCAGGGCCACCCAGCCCTGGAGATCTGAGGGATGGGGACGGGGGTGGGACAAGGAAAGTGCTGGAAGGAGGATGGGAACTCAGCACGAGGGCGAAGAAGCCGCTCAGAACCGGCCCTCTCAAAACCACAAGGAGCTCTAGTCTAACCAGGGATAAAATCCACCCCCTAATATACCAGACGTGATTTATTTCTTCTCTTTTCTCTTTAAATATTTATATATATATATTTATATTACGTATATTATATATATATAATATGTAAATATATTTTTAAAACAATATAAAATGTTAAGACACTTCACTTAAATGTAAAGAGTTGCTTTTTGCAATCCAAAGAAATTGCATCATGATTTTTTTTTCCTTTTTTTTTTTTTTTTTTTTTTTTTTTTTTTTTTTTTTTTTTTTTTTTTTTTTTTTTT